GAAACTCAGAAACTCGGAAACTCAAAAAGTCGGATGTCGTTTCAGGTCTTCCATACCATACACTTGTACAGACTTTGCTGAAGTTTTTTCCTGGTTTCTATTTTTTCTCCATGTTGTATGCACTGTTTTGTACTGTATCACTCAGAAAATTATCATTTTAACTACTCAACACTTGCATTTATCAGTGTGTTTATATTTATTTAAATGTAATATAAGTGTGTGTGTGTGTGTGTGTGTGTGTGCGCATATATGGAATATGTAATGTATGTCACATGTATATAATGGTGTACGTATGAGTGTCAAAAGATGTTAAAGTGTAGGGCCTACCTTAATTACTGGTTTCTATTTTTCTTCATGTTGTTACTGTTGTATGCACTGTTTTATACTGTATCACTCAGAAAATCTATCACTTTAACTGCTCAACACTATTACATTTATCAGTATGTCCATATTTATATAAATATAAGTGTGCGTATGTGTGCGTATGTTTGTGTAATGTGTATATGATGGTATACGTAAATGAGTATAGTTGAGTTTACATCTGCTTCATGCGTTTTCATGAATTCAAGGTACTTGTATAAACGTCATAATAATTAGTGGTGTTCCGATTAATCGAGTTTGTCGATCATTACTCGTTTGGGCTGCCGAGTTGATTAATCGAGTAGAAAATCGGACAACTGAGTACAACACAAACTTTTTTTTTAATTCTTTTTTTTTTTTTCTCCAGATTTGACACAAGTACATACATTTACACATATACTAGTAAACGCGGTGCGGTGTAAATTTTCAAGGAACTATGCGACTTTGTTTCCTGAAAATCAAGCCTAATCCTAAATTTTCCTACATCTTCTCAACATATTTCCTAAATTAAAGCATTTTAAAAAAAATTCAGGGATCCTTTTTTAGTTAATATTATGAACAACTTATGGTTAAAAGTTTAGGTCCCAACTCTGCTCTTTCTGAGAAATAACAAAAAAAGCATTTTTGTATAAATTCACAATTTTTGCCGTCACTTAATTAGCGATGAATTGTTAATAAAAATAATTTCATCGATAGCATAGAGAGACATCTCTCTTATGTAATGGATATGAGTTTGATTGAATTTGATGAGCAGTTATGTTGCAATGCCCTTTATAACTAGCTACACATACAATAACGTCAATATTCCTTCGCAATACACTGACGCCGCCGCAATCTAAAATGATCGATGATTAATCGATCATCGGTCGTTTCGTAAAACCGATGATCGATCATGAAATTTAGACTGATTTCCAACACTAATAATAATAAATAATTTTGCACAGGGGAGAGATAGTGATCCGCTAGGGGACGGCTCTGTTTCGCTAATTTTGTCTCTTATTTATTTTATTTTTTATTATTTTTCGCTAATTTTGTTTTATTTTAGAATTAGGGATAGGGTTAGGGTTACGGTTAGGATTAGGGTAAGGGTTAACCGATTTCTATATCCACAACTTGTTTCTATATTCACTATCTCTCCCCTGAGACCTACTAAATAATAAATACATATATACATATCTACATATATACATTATACATTGTATAATTTTTCATAATTGTTGTATATTTGTAGTAGTTCTTAGCCAATATATTAGTCAAATAACGTAACAATAGCCGGCAGGCAAGTTTGACGTTTGAACAAACCACGTGACAAAATATGCAAATGATCTCCCGTTTTGGCTTGAATATAGACACACCCAATCAGTTCATGACTACGGCAGACATGTATGACGTTTATACAAGTCCCATAAGGGGTGTGTCTATATATTCAAGCCGGTACGGGAGATCATTTGCCTATTTTGTCACGTGGTTTGTTCAAAAGTCATACTTGCCTGCCGGCTATTGTTACGTTATTTATATAATATATTGGCTAAGGACTACTACAAATATACAACAATTACGAAAGATTATATTATATATTATATTGATATATATATATGATATATATATATATATATATGATATATATATATATATTATCTTGATTGGACCTCGCCTCAATTTCAAAGAAAGTGCTGAACAGCATCCAGCATTGCAGCATCTTCTGTAAAAAGTTCAAAAACAAGATATGTTATATTATCACAAGTTTTTTTGCTTATTAAAATTTAGGACAGTCTTAAAGATGGGTGAGACTGCTAAAAAAAATTTCTTCATAGCAAATGCTTAGAAATCTATATACTATTTAAAGCAATTCTTCCTAAAATTCTAAATAATTCCCTCAAACTAATAACAAATTGCATTCAGGAAGCACCACATAATAAAACCTCTCAGGTCTTGGTCTTTCTATGAACCCCAGTCTCAAAATTACATTCCATGTAAATGCTCCCCACTGTCCCCCTACTGCAAAAACAACAACAATCATATCGTTGCACTTCCCTAGTGATCTGCTGTATTATCAACAATTTCGGCAAAATTAACATTTATGTCGTGGTGGTGTAATGCTTTCACACAGAAAATTTCAACACAGACTTACCATTGTAGACAACAATTTCGTACGTCCCAGACAGATGGGATTGCCTCTCTAGAATTTTCTTCAAGAACGCAGCATACTTCTTCACCTCCTGCAGCTTATCCTGCTCTGTGAAGCCAGTCAGCTCGAAATCTTCTGTCATGTCTCGGAGCGTGAGCAGATTTGCTGGCATGTCAGCGACGAACGTTACCTCCTAAAATATTATCAAAACAACCGTAAATACAATTCGATATAGCTACCATATATAATACATTAGTGCCACTTTGCATACTTTATTTATAATCCAGTAATTAATATCCATGTAGTAATCATATTAATAACACATTCCTGTAGTTGCATCTAATTACACTGATACATGATTACTGAAGTTTATAGTAACCAGATGTAGAAAGATTTCCCTTTAGATGGCCCTCGGTCATCAAGCTAGTTCTAAATCGGTAACTCCTAAATGTGGGATTTGAATCAAGGCCTCACTTCTATAAACAAACTCTTTCCACTTGACACTTGTGCTTACCTTTTCATTACGAACTAATCCATAGACGTTGTTAGGGTACTTTCTTTTGAATCCAGCTCTGTCTATCATCAATGGAGCTAACGTTCCAACCTGTCCTATGCTCTTGTCGACGTCCTGCAGCTTCCCTGGCATCTCACCATTAGCAGGGATTAAAATAAACAACTTCTTATTTGTTGTGCTTTTGCCATATTCACTGCTGCTGATCCTATCTGCCACACTAGGCAATACCAGATTTAGGTAGCCGGCATAGTAGTTATATGCAAGTCCTTCTCCCAATGACACCTGAAATAAAATTTCAATTTAATACTCAACTAGTAACATCAATAGAAATATACAAGGACATAACATCAATTTCTCATCAGGAAATGCTATGAACTTTTATTTATAACTTAAACATTCTAGGCGGATACAAGGGTAACAGCCCTATAGACCGAAGGTTATGTGTTCAAGGTGTAAAGATGCATTTTCGAATACGCAGTGGCTACGCGTCCGGAACCGGTCGCCTAGCCTCCAGGCTACGCACCCGGAACCGGTCGCCTAGCCTCCAGGCTACGCGTCCGGAACCGGTCGCCTAGCCTCCAGGCTACGCATCCAGACATCCACTCACACAGTGATCTCGCGACTCGCGTACACGCATGATTGTGCAATGGGACAATCTCTCTCTCTCTCTTTCTCTCTCTCTTTCTCTCTATATCTATCTCTCTCTCTCTCTCACACACACACACACACACACACACGCGCGCGCACACACACACGGCAATCAGCAGAGCGTCCCGTTGCACAACCATGCGTGTGTGTACGTATAGGTCCCTTTTCAATATTCGGTCTATAGGGATCACCCCGATACAAGATATGGCACTGTCGGGTGTGAAAATGGTTTGTACAAAATTGAAAAGTGCTAAAGCAAGCACTGTGAACCACATAGTCAAAATTTTGACCTTACATACTATAGTAGTCTGTTATGTAGCCAGAAAATTTCTACCCTCAATGCACCACTTTTTGAGATGTGAAATTAGCTTATTGTCCTATAGATCAATGAAATAACTCGAATTTACATGTTCACTCAGAACGACTACCTGGTACATAATAAAACACAGTAATAATACAATATATATGGCAGGGTTTTACATAACCCAGTTACACATGAGTCAGTAAAACCTAGAGCGTACACGGCTATAATATCGGAATCCAATTGTCCAACGTTCACTGAACTTAATCTACCTAGAATTTATTAGTTATATATTATAAGTTATCATGGAGTTTTTTTATGTTACCGATGGAAGGTGATGCAGGTACACAGTATTTTTGTTTAAAATAAACTTGTGAAAGTGTATGGTAAAACCTAGATACAATAATATAACCCTACTCTTGTTGGGTTATATTATTGTATCTAGGTAAAACCTATTACGTATGGTGGTATAGGGGAATGTTTGAGGTAGATCCTGAGCTCTGGTTTGTTGAATTCAACATAATAACTAAGTCACAAGTTGATTAGGGCTAGAAAACGTTGGATTTCCAAATTTAGCCGTGCAATCTCGTTTGTTTTTATTCAATCCTGGTCATAAAAACAATAACGTATAATAACAACATGGGTCCCAATAAAACCAATGTGCCTAACCCTAACCCTAACCCTAATCCTAACCCTAACCCTAACCATAACCCTAACCTATTATATTGATATAATATTATATTTATATTGATGTAAATGACATTGGTTTTATTGGGACCCATGTTCTCTATCCTTGAACCAAGTGCCAAGTGGATTTGCGCCCATTATTGTACCTATGGCTATGGGCTATGTTGCTCACCATGGGCGCTGTTGCTCAGCATAGCCATAGCCCATAGCCATTAGCCATAGGTACAATAATGTAACCCAATATCATAGATTACCGCTTAATCATAGCGAAGGATAATCAAGGATAGTACGATTCCGCTTAATCAAGGATAGTACGATTCCCGATTAACCATAACTCTACAACTTACCGTCGTATTACTTTCGGAAATTACTTTATATCGCAGTTACGTATGACTTGTCGTTCCACTGTGGTCAGTCTGGGTCCGCTATAGCCACAAAGTTCCCTTGGCTACGTTGACGAGAGGTTTCCTACGCCGTGTAACAGTCGTAGATCCTTGCTTATGTGGGTGACTTGTTTTTATAGTTTGACGGAACCATACTTGCCTACGTCACGCCACCTCTCGGGAGCCTACGTTAGACGGGCACTGAGTATCGTGAGTCAGCTGCGGCAAGCTTAGTTTCGCTGATAAGGGCGCCATCTACAGAGAAGAGGCGTGGATATGCAAGGGAATAACCAGTAGAACGGGGAATCACCGGCAGAACGGGGAATCACCGGCAGAACGGGGAATCACCGGCAGAACGGGGAATCACCGGCAGAACGGGGAATCACCGGCAGAACGGGGAATAACCGCAGTAAACGCCGTTGGGGGGAATCACCGAACGGGGTTTAAACCGAAAAGGTCAAACCAAGTACAAATAAAGATATACTAGTATAAGAAAACATAACCTCGTAGTTTTTTGCTCTCGCTTAAGTTCACTCGTCGGTCGTCGGTCGTCAACCAACACGGCAACAGTAGTAGAGCCTGATCGCGTTTAAGGCCGATGAAAGTTGATTTCATGGTTCTCGTCAGGCATTGTTGAGATTTTGATGAGGGATTTAGATCAACATTCATCTTTCATATACAAACCAATAGAACTTAGTGAGGGTATCAGGTCTTGTACACAGGGGTCGAATTAGCCGCTAGCCCGATAGCTCGGGACTAGTAATTGTTTGGAAGGGCTAGTTAAATGCCAGGGTGGCTTGCCCGTCGGGCAAGCAAGTAAACAATTCCAGACCAGATTTCGTAATTCGTGAAATGAACGTGTGTGCGTAAACGCGTGTGTGTGATGTGTGTGCGTGAGCGTGCGTGCACGACGTGTGTGCGTTAGCGCGTGTGTGCGACGTGTGTGCGTGAGCGCGTGTGTGCGCCGTGTGTGCGTGAGCGCGTGTGTGCGACGTGTGTGCGACGTGTGTGCGTGTGCGGGTGTGTGCGACGTGGGTGCGTGAGCGCGTATGTGCGACGTGTGTGCGTGAGCGCGTGTGTGTGATGTGTGTGTGTGAGCGCGTGTGTGGGACCTGCGTGCGTGAGCGCGTATGTAC